GGCTGCGCCCTCGGCTCGCTGAGCCCCGGCGCTCGCTCCACACCCGGGCCACCCGGCCAGCGCAGGCGACACGGCCGCCCGGCAGCGCGGACCCGGACTAGACTCCCCTTCGCTCTTCGGTTCCCGGGGCTTCGCCAAGCTGGACCATGAATCTGGCGCGAGCTTGGCTGTAGGAGCAATTCCGAAGCCGGAGGGAGAGGGCGTCCAGCAGTTCTTCGGTTGCTAAGGTAATTGTAGTTGTGACCAAAAACAATCCCCAGCAAGAGACAAATGGAGGGGCGGCGGGGATGACCCGAGGCAGCCCCGCACCCCTCTCCTCCTTCCCCCGGGTCTCCCGCCGTTCAGACGTGTGGATTTCATCTCCCGGGGTTGGGCGCGGGTCGGCTTCCGAGGCGTGACAGGTGCGGTGCGTGCCTGCGGTTGGGACCGCCGCTGGAGGGGAGCTTACATAAGGGCTTGGGCGAGCTGGCGAGCCGACTTGTGTGGGATGGGCGCAGGTCTGCGCAGGACTCGCTCCCGGCTGCTGGGTGCGAAGCGCGCTCCGCCCGGGACCCCCGAGCCCAGGCGCTTCCAAGCGCTTCCACGGCGCCGGCTGGGCTTGCCGATCGCAGGTACGACTGCGCACCTCAAACGCAAAGAAGTGCCTTCAACTTTTTCTCGGAGGAAGCTGGCGGTTGGTGGTTGGCGGGGGAAGACAGGCGAGGCTTGGTGGTGAGCTTGGTGGAGGGCAGGCGCGGGGTGGCGAGCCTCGGTTGATTTGGGGAGGTGGGGTTCGGGTGCTGCTTAGGAAAGGAAACCCTGAGAATCTTAGATCAGACGGCTGACCGACTGATGGGTTAAGTGTGCAGTCGCTGTCACAGTGACTGGCAGGCTGAGTGGAAAGTGGCCCAGCGAGATCGGGGAAGTGACCCAGAAAATTTAATGTCGTTCAGAATGAGAGCTGCTGTATTTCATTTAACGCAAGAAAAGAAAAAAGAGGGGGCTGATAGAGTGGGAACGTCACTTTCTCTCGTGGAAGACAAGTGGCGTTTTTCTACTGCACAGGGGATTTATTTGAGATCCTCTTATTGACACGGAATCGTCCTCCCTGCATGTGTTATGCTTAGGAGCTGGAAAGACTGAAGCTTGTGATCAATACCTTTGAGCAGCCCCCAGGTCCATCTGCAAAATAAATAAATAAATAATAAACAAACAAATACATAAATAGGATCAGGTGAAATCCAGCAGCAAAACCTTTTCTCTCCCAAGAGAATGAAAAATGGAAGGATAAGAATTGAGTTGGGTGCCCATGTATTTGTAACCCCTCTGTACAGTATTTTCACAATAAAAAAAAAAGAATTGAGTTGGGAAGGTCATACAAGTGTGTGTGTGTGTGTGTGTGTGTGTGTGTGTATCCAAAATTGTCAGACTGGAAGGAAAATCCTGTGTTTAGTTTCATGTAGACCACTAGGCTCTTGCTGAGCAATTTGCATAGATGGGTAATTTTATGGCATCCAAACTAGACTATTGGTGGGAAACTTTCTGTGAGTTGTGTGTTCTTTATTCTTATTCTGAATTTATTGATTTTGCAGTGGGTGTAGGTTTATTTTGTGGAAGAGTGTAGAGGACTAATGGAAACTGGAGACTGGACCGACAGCCTTGTAAGCCAGAGCTTCCACGATTACACTGGCAATATAAATAAATTCTTTGAGTTCTCTGATACTACTATTTGGATAAATTGTTGTGTAAATATGGTGATCTCAGGTACTATTAACTACTTCAAGACTTCTAGTAAGTCATCTTTGCCAGAAAGACCCCGCAGATTCTAGAAATGTCAACTCTAAAGGAAACAATGTTTGGTGGAGTTTTTCCCATAATCTTTGGAGTGATCCTTCTTTCTGATAAAATTTTTTTTCAATTAACATTCACTAAATTCCTGCTGTAGGGAATTTTGATAAAACAATGCTAGTTTCTCATAGAAGCAATCAAGGCCTTCTCCAATGTAACATTATCCCTGAATCTCTTGTGGCAGAAAGTACCTGCTTCTGTACTTAGTTTTGATTTGTGGAATAGGATCTCCAGCATAAAGATTTTTAAGTGAGCAAGCTTTTGAGAAAAGACTCCCCCCCAAAAAAATTAAAGTACTTTGGACTATGGAATTTGCCAATGTTTTATTATCCTGCAGGGAAAATATTTTATGTGAGAGTAGGATCGTTATGTGTCTTCTCATTCTAATTTTTTCCCATGCATTTTATGCTCTGAACTCCTAAGACTTTGCCAGGCATGGCTGAACATTCCGTTTTGTGCCAGGGGTTAAACACCAGGGAGCTTTGAGTAAGAAGCTGTGTGTCACATAAACATTTTTTTTTAATTTTTGAAAGGGATGCTCTTCAAAGATCTCAATGCTGGGATTAATTTTTCCTTCAGCCCCACAGCTTGTCTTAATTCTTAGTGCTTTGAACCTAGGAATGCATTTAACCTCTTCAGTATTCAAGGCCAGCTGGAAGGAATGTATTTACTGAATTTCATCTTCATTGTAACATATGGCATGATATAAATAATTACTATACACACACTGTCCAGCTGTATGGAAAGAAATAGAAATATAAAGTACATCTCTATGTTGAGTGATAGGAATATAACATTTCCAAAATCAGTTTTATGGTTTTTTTTAATTATAAAAAGGTAACATTTATTTAGAACAATCCAGAAAAATAAAAAAAAAACTGAGGATTATCTGTAATCCTCTACAGACAAGTGAGCCTCTATTGACATTTCTTCAATCTACATCCCTCCAGATGTTTATATGAATTACATCTTCATTGTGTTTACCCTCCCCCCAGTCTTCAGATCCTACACATAGAGCTTGAGAAGTGATTGCTGATTTACTAGATGAATTGATAGATCAGACTTCAATTTTAATCTTTGTTATTTTAAAAAAAAGTATGTTCTCTACTTCTTTACTTGTCCCAAACTAGTATTTGCACTTTGAGATGGTAATGTGGATGGCCTCCCATTAGACTTAGGAAACAAAGTGCCCAAGAAATACTGGCCATTCTGGGTGGGAGAACTGGGTTCTGCTTGCAATTTCTCTATCAACTATCAACCATGGGGCCTTGGGCCACTAGGCCTCTGTTTCCTCGAAGGAGAGATGACACATACAGGTTCAGCTCAAACGCCTCTGACTTTTGTGTTGCCTTGACATTTGATGAGGATGATCTTTATTTGAAGAAAGATTATTCAAACAGAGAGCTGGGATTCACCCTGCCTGGAATTGGCCTGAGAATTTACATTTCTAATAATCCCCTAGGTGAGGCCAACTCCACTGCTCTGGTACACTCATGAAGACTACAAAGTAAGCTTCTGGGCCAAAAACTCTTTTCACTTTTTTTTTTTGTTTTTCATCCATCGACCCAGTTCCCAGCAATGTACCTGCCAATAGTTACTCAGGAACCACTGGCTGGTTCAATCAATATTTATTCTATCCATGGAGAGAAACGTTCTCAACTAGTCAAGATAGAAGAGAAAAATCATCTTAAATTTGGGACCATGAAATTTGTAATAAGAGTCATCATTAGTCATGAAGCCCAGTTCTTCAAACTGCAAGGAACACCAAAATGCTTGCAATTAAGCAATTAAAAATAAACATTAAGCCTAATGAGTTCCACAGAATGACTAGGAATACCTGCCTGAGACATTATACACCGTGAAGTTTACTACATGCTCCAGAGTACCTCCCTGAGACCTCTGAGCAGCAACACATTTCCTGCCACATACAGTTAACCCTTCATCGCTCTGGGTTCTGCTTCTGCCCACTCAACTCACCATTGAAGTATTTAGAAATATATTGTGTCTGTACTGAGTAGCTACAAATAGAGTATCTACAAACATTTACATTGTACTAAGTAAGCTAGAAATGGTTTAAAGTGTACGGAAGAATGTGCATAGGTTATATGTAAAGACTGTGCCAGTTATTTTATTATTTAAGTAGTTGTACAAAGGAGCTGCCATTTTACCAAGCAGTTTGTGAATACAAGGCATCTTGATGGATATCACCCTTTCAACTTCTCACCCAGCCCTCCCAATCCACCCCTTCCCTCACTTCTCTTCATTTTGTGGGTTATACATTGAATGCTTGACTGCACTTTCCCCCTTCCCCTCTTCATTGGTCTACCCATCTCCCCTTGACCCTACCCTACCCCATTCAAGTCCCTGCTTCCTGGTGTTGGTTTTGTTGAGCTTTGACTTTGACTTTCTAAGGAATTACACTATTTGAGTTCTCCCTTGAATCTACCATATTTCACTTAATACATTTGTATACACTTGCATACCACCCAACACTTACTTGTATGTTTGTAAACTAATTCTAGCTTCCGCATATGAGGGAAAATTAGCAACCCTTGTCTCTCTGGATCTGACTTACCTCACTTAATGTAATTTTTTCCCAGGTCCTTCCATTTCTTTGCAAATGATACAGTATCATTCTTTCTAGTGGATGAGTAAAATTCCATTGTTGTCATCCAGAAAAAAATGGATTGGAGGAAAGATATTCTATAATGTAATGTTCTTATATATTAATGTCATTATAATTATAACATATAATAATATAATTCTATTATATTCCATAAAAGGACAGAGGAAGTTTGCTAATACTCACCTCATTTACGAAACCAAGAGGTAAAAGAGTCAATGCTATCCCACCCGCCCAAGCTCTCCCACCAAAAGGTACATCAATGTTCATTAGCACCTAGGAGAGAGATCACCATTTTATGATTGAGGAAACTAAAACCCAAAGAGACAAATTAACCAGAATAAGTACCACAGCTAGCAGTAACATCAGAAATCAGACCCAGGCTCGCTTGATCCTGAAGGAACGTGCTTTTCACTTCCCTCCCTGGACCCCTCTTGGGTGTTGGAAAGTCAGATTTTTGGGAATTCCAGTTGGCTGCGGAAGAACTTAGAACTTTCATTCATCTTTGTGTGGCTACTTGTCGAATGGAAAATCAATCCTTTCCTTCTACTTAGGTGCTGGAGACATAGTGCACACCCCTATTTTATGCATGGAACCACTAAAAGGTGAATGTGAATAAATTAGGTGCACCTTTATCTGTGGCTGTTAAAGTTAGTTGTGGCAGAGACTGTCTCAACTTCTCTAAAATGCTTTGGAGAAAACATCAAAGGAGAAATCTGCATATCCGCCCTCCCCAGGAGGCTCTTCTTATCCAAGTGGAGCCCACTAAGGTGAGTT